GTCTCCTCCAGGACAGAGCATGCCTTTCTGCAATGAGTTGGATTAAAGGTGACCAGGCAATGCTGGGAGCCGTCTTCGGCCCCAAGCCTGTCCTACAGTGGACACAGGAGCCCGGACCTCCAAGTGACGCTTTTGTCTTTGCAGGCATTTATGCTTCTGTCTGGGACCTGGGTCAGGAGGCTGCATCTGGGGGTGTCTCAGCAACCCGGCTCACATCCGCAGTCAGGGCCTCGACCTCAGCTGAGTGTCTACTTCGGGCACGGCCTTGCGCGCATCGTCAGTTGCTGCCTAATCGGACCGATATTGCCGCACAGCACTTTCTCCCAAAGGGTAGACGCGGGAGTGTGCCGCTGATGTCGGCCCGTGACAGCTCGGCCGAAGATGGACAGAAGGCCAAGCGGGCTTTTCCGCGCTCACACTATGGAGCGGATGGGAAGCACAGGCGGACGAAGGGGGAAAAGCAGGCTAGGCAGAGTTGGCGCAGTTACCAGGACGCCGGCAAAGACGCAGGCGCGTCCTCCAGGAACCACTCCAAGAGTCAGACCTGGCAGCCGAAGCCTCCGACTCAGGAGTCCGATGGCGATGCCGGTTGGGGGGCAAATCTGGGCAGCACAAAGCATCGTGAAGATTCCAGGTGGCATTCAGATGGGCAGGCGAAGTGGGACCATCGCAAAGGGTGGGACAGCCAAGATGCTCAGCCGAGCACGCCTGGGCATGCACCAGCGGAGTCAGTAGATGCACCCACCTCGGATCCCAGTGGGTCCAGCAATGCGAGCTCTATGATGGATGCACAGGTGAGGCGTACCCTTTTGCTACGACTTCCGGATGGCACAGGAATCCCACAGCTTGCTGCACAGTTGGATGACATAAAGAAGGCGTCTGGACTTCTGCAGGTTCTCTTCTCTGCCAGGTCCAAGGAGGGGCGTTGGACGCTCCTCTTGGACGGTACACAGCAGAACCAGGACCGAGCCAAGGCAATCGTGCAGGATATCATGGAGCGAGCGCAGAATGAGTCGCAGATCACACCAACTGGCGCGAACCCCCGGCTCGACGAGCCGACTGAGACGAACACTGCAGGACCTTCATACCTCCCACTACAGCAGCTGCCACCGCATCCGAGCACAGCTGACGAAGCGTTGGACTCCAGCCCGAAAGGGGTGTCACAGATGCCGGCGATTGCTGCAGGTAGGGACACGGCTTTAGGGAGTGCCGATACACCGGCCCCCGATGTTGCTCAGGATGTGTGTGTACAGACCACAGCCCCGCCAATAGTGCAGAGTTGCCCGCCTGACAACCTGGCTCAGTCTCGCATTGACTCGTCTGCCTATATGATGTGTGCGGCCGTGCAGCGGGCCTCGCCACTTCTTGCAACCAACTGTCCAAGCCTACCCCACTTAGGTCGATGTCAGTCATACGGCCCCTTACGAGGCGAGCCGAGGACCAGCCATGGTAAGAGACATGTTTCATGCAGACTGTCGTGCACTTACATGTTGCTGACCTGGACTCGGTGCCTCGACACACAGGACAGCGCTGACCGCGGGACGGCAGATAATGAGAGCAGTAGCAGAAGGGGTGCAATGGCCATTGACTACGGTCGACGTGGGCGTCTCAAGGGTTGGGCTAGTCTCAGATACCGTCGATACAGTGGGCACCGCAGAGTCAAGGCGTGATCAACAAGACGGAGCCGACCGGCATGCGCAGTTTCTTTCATGCATCTCGTTTCCTTGATCAGCCGTGACGATTGCACCTCTTCAGCTCTTCTCTCGAGGGTCATTGACACACTGCACCGTTGTCTAGAGATGCTCTATATCTTCTGGTGGCTGATCCTGAGATGGGTCCAGAAATGTCGGAGCCTCAGCAAACTCACTCGATGGTTTTGTTTCGTGCTATCGTCTATGCGAGACTACAAACTGACCTGCAGAAACCATGTTCACACTTCGAGCCGCCCCGGTCCCAAACCCGGGGTCGGTCCCTCCAGTATGTCACACAGAAACATTCATGATCATAGGCAGCGCAGATGGCTCTTTTGGGCAATTATCTTCACGCGTTTGCAGCTTGCCTGGGGGGCTGAAGAATCGAGGGTTGAGACCCACACCAGCGGGGTCTCAGGAACGGGGGCTTACCTATCAGGCACACACGCACCGCCCCGTGAAGACGCTGGCACAGCTTCGCACAATGGCGCCCGCCCCTCAATTGCACTACAGTACCCATGGAGTGCAAAGAGGGCTTTTCGAAGAGCTCGCGCACGAGCAGCCCACGGCCCGACCATGTACAGAGGAACACTGTGCACAGCCAGAGAACTACAGGCACAGTACGGGCAACCGCTATCGCCCAGGCAGCCTCGACCTGCGCGTCGCGAGCAGAATGGGAGCCGTGATCGGCCCCACACGGAGTCTGTCCAGCGCTATGTGGCAGGAGCTACAGGCCTGGCTCAGTACTTCGGAAGCGAGCAGATATGACATCATACTCTTGCAGGAATCACATTGGTCTACGATGACGGACTTCTCGACAGGTAGCTGGCTTTGTGTTGGCACCCCCATTGCCGACAAAGACAAATGCTCAGGTCTTGTTACTTTGGTCCACTCAAGGCTGGGACCAGTGGAGGCCATTCAGTGCAAAACGTTTCTCAAGGGCAGAGTTACTCTCACACGCATACAGCAGAAATCTGGAGCCATCGATGTCATCAATGTGTATCAGCATGTGTGGCGGAGCCAACATACCAATGCACAGAACCAGGCGGCCAGAGCATCTGTGTACAGAGCCATAGGGCTCGCTTTGAGTAACAGCCCAATGCGCAACACCTGTATCTTAGGAGGGGACTTCAACACGGAAGTACAACCACTCAGTCCACATATAGGTCGAGCGTTGCTGGCTCGCAAAGGGCATAAGGGAGATGAGGATGGTGGAGATGGGCTGCCAGAGCTGCTCCAAACGCATGGGCTATGTCTTCTTAACACCTGGAATGGCAAACACAAAGCCACGAACATCACCAGTGGCTCCCGTAGTCAAATTGACTTCATCGCCGTACGTGTGCAGTGGGCTGACCGCATTGCCAAGTGCAGTACAGCTCTGCCTCACTGCCCAGCAGGTGCGTGGAAAACGAATCGCCGCTTCCCTGTTCATGCCTCAGTCAAGCTTGCTGCGCCTTGGTACCAGTTGAGCCGGGCGAAGACGGCCTACGCAGGCATAAACAAAGTGGAGATGCAGAACTCCATTGCCCGACAGGACGCCCGAGCTCAGCAGCTCCGGGAAGAGGTAGCAGTAGAACTTCAGCAGTTGTCTGACCAAGCAGATTTGGGAACACTCACGGTCCAGGCTGACGAGATTCTGAGAAGGTGTGCCATCCGACTTTACCCTGCGCAGCCTCAGCCTGATATGCGGATCAGTCAGAATCCTACCGTTCAGCACAGTGCTCGCGAACTTTGGCGTTTGTACCATGAGTACAAGGCCCTGGGTCGATGCACCAGACAGACCGTACTTAGAAAGTGGCGTCTCTGGATTCAATTCAGGAAGGCCTCCAAGCAGATGCGGGAAAGTGTTAAAGTGGCAAAAAGACAAAAAGTTCACGACACTATGCATGAAATGGAACAGGCGGCTAGACGCGGCGACCAGGGAGCCACCTATGCGGCGGTACGTAAGCTTGCGCCTTGGAAACCAATGGTCAAGCCTAGCATCCGCGGAGAGGCTGGAGAGCTGCTCTCCACTGCACAACAATTGCAGGCACTTGTGCGGCATGCCAAAGATAAGTTCTGTCAAGGTACCGATTTCTTCCCGGAAGGTCGCTTGCAGCACGGTTTCCCAGTGTCCAGCGCTACGCTGCAGCATGCTCTTCAGAGACTCCCGATCCGCAAGGCGGCACCGACGAGTGCTGCACCATCTGCACTATGGAAGAATAGCGCAGCAGCCCTTGCGGACTTGTTTCATGCGCCCATCACTCGTTCCTGGGGACCTGGTGAGCAAGGCAATGCGCCTGCTATATGGAAGGATGCGCAAATGGTCTGGATGCCTAAGCCTCAGAAAGACAGCAGCCTGCTTGCCAATCTACGACCGATAGGTCTAGTACACCCAATGGGCAAATCCATCAGTGTTGTCCTACGTACAAAGCTTCGGCCCGTCCTCACGCAGGCCCTGATCACGCGCCCTCAGTTTGCATATGCCAAGGGACGATCAACGATAGATGCGCTGCTTCGAGCACATGGGCATCTGACTCAGACGAGGCAAGAAGTTGAAAAGTATCGAACCTCAATATATGCTCGTCACTCTGGTCAGGAACCCAATCCATGCTTTGGGGGCCTTTGTTTCAGCCTTGACCTTAAGGGAGCTTTTGATGCTGTACCACGGCACCGCCTCGCAGAGAGTTTGTTTCGGTTGCAAGTAGATCCAGAGCTGGTGCACCTGATCATGCACATGCAATACCAAGCCCAGTACTGGAACAACTTCGTGGCTTACACTATCATGCTGATTGACAAAATAAGTGCCCGCACTTCAACGCAATGGACCAATGATGGACTCACGTGGTATGCTGATGATGCTTTTGCGGCCTGGTTAATCTCAGGGACTGCAGCGTTGAGACAGGCACTCCAAGATCTCACGATTTTAGTCGCCACTCTCAAGGAAAACGGTATGGAGATTCAGCCCGACAAATGTGCGGTTCTGCTAAACCTCCATGGAAGTGAAGCGCATAAAATCCTGCGACGACACCTGGTCAAAAGAAATGATCAAAAGTACGTTGTGGTCGAGACTAGGCCAGAGGTTCAAGTCCCCATTAAGAAGTATCATGAGTACCTTGGCACTGTGATTGCATATCGGGACCCACAGACGCTAACCCTGCAACACAGGCTGGGAAAGGCAAGAGGGCAGTACGCGCTCCTGCGCAGAACGCTGCATGCCCGAAGGCTCATATCAAGCAAGTACAGATACCGCATATGGAAGGCGGGAGTGGCTGCTATGGACTCGTGGCAACGGGCATCACTGCTACAGGTCGGACGCAGCTCCTAGCTATGGTGGCCAGGCAGCTCAGGGCCCTGGCGGGCCGCCCCGCTCACCTGACTCATGAATCCAACGCGTCTATCAGGCTTCGGTTTGGCTGCGCAGAGCTGACGGAGGATCTTCTTCAGGCTGCAACAAAGAAGCACAAGGAGCTTCAGGCACTTCGCCACTCACAGCCGGATAACCTTGCGACGCGCGACATTGCCTTGCAACAACTGGAGATGGCCATCTCCACATTCCGACAGGTGGTACCAGTGGCACAACCGGTCCGAGAAGGAGTCGAAGGCATCGGGTGCCCTTGTCCTGTCTGTGGGGTGTACTTCGACAGCCGTACCAGTGTGAAAAAGCACATAGCCATCAAGCACCCCGAACACAAAACTACAGACATCACCTTCGATCCAGCTGTGCACGCGCTAGGTGGGCTTCCGCAATGCTCGGCCTGCAAGCATAAATTCCAGAGCTGGCAAGCACTCAAGAATCACATTCAAAATGACAACTGTGCCGAGCTCGAAAGGGCCACTACTGCCACTGCGAGGACCCAGGATGCCAGCGGACAAGATGGACTGAGAATCCCGCCTCACCGCAATCCGCAGGTTGCGACCATCATTCGTGAGCAGGGCTGGGAAGCACTTGTTACCAGTCCGTTTGCCGATGAACTGAGACAGCATTGCTGCCTGTGCGCCAGATGGATTGTTGATCCAACTGCCCTCAAACGCCACATCAGCAAAGCACATAAGCAGCTCTGGGCTCTGGCCTCGGCACAGATAGAAGGCACCTGCGCTGTTTTCAAATCTCGTCTCACGAGGGATGGCTTCTGCCCTTACTGCACTAGGGTCTCATATAGCCGTCATTTTAAGCAGTGCTGTGTCATCTTTCAATCTGCTTTGCTGGGACTTCTGCCAAGCCATGGCGACCACCCAAGAGCAGATCCAGATGTTCGGGTACCTCCTGCCAGGACTGAGTGCCACGACCAAGCGACCCCCGGCTACACCAATGCAGGGGACGAAAGCGGAAGAGGAGGACTCCGAGACGCCGGGGACGCAGGGGAAAAGAAAGCGCACCCGCCGGGGAGGAGGAAGCAATGGGAGCCGAGCATCGGCCCCAAATCATCCGGTGATGACCAAGGACATGGGCAAAATCATTCATCTCATATCCCGCATCCTGACCCAGCACGAGGACAGCATCAACGCGGCCAAGATGGACCGAGGTTTCACGATCTTCATGGCCCAAACGGGGCCAGCGGGACTGTTGACCAACCTGTACCAGGCCAGCATAGCTTGGAACAAACTCCGGGAGACCGAGCCCCAGAAGATCACGCAACCCCCACGCATCACGCTGCTCACCTTGATGATCGCAGAGCTCGGAGTGAGGCTTCAAAATCTGGACCAACAGCCGGAGGCCAAGAAGCTAGCGGTTGCGGGGGCTTGCTGGACGAGCAGGGAAGGCTACTGTATCAGAAGTGGGACGGGGAGAACAAGAAATTGATCCCAAACCCGACGATGAACGGTCTGGAAATCGAGGAGGTGAAGCAGATGTTAAAGGAGATGGAGCCGCTCATCCTCGAGGACCTGGTGCTCAGATTCTTCGCGCCAAGAAAGATTCAAGCTCGAGATCTCCCTCAGGCATCCCGAGGCAAACCTGCTGTACCAGAACATGGCAAAGTTGGCGGACAACGCAGTCTGGCAGCTTATTGGGTGCCAGATCCGAAAGGACGGCATGCGTCGCCGGTACAAGAGCTGATGAAGCTGATCAGCTCAGCAGGCCCATCACAACAGATGCACAAAAGTTGCTACTTGCCACGAAACTTCACAACAACACCAATACATGCTACCTCAATGCATTTCTTCATGCATTGGTCTGGCAGGTGACGTTGAGGACTGAGTTAAGGTTGCCACAGGCCTGGAGTGATGCATTCCAAAAGGTTGCCTTAAAGCCGCTCTCGCTGCTAAGGTTTCATTTACTGGGGTGGGCAAGACCACATGTGCAGCACGATGTGGCCGAGCTTGCAATTCTGCTTCTTAGAAACCTTAGCTGGGTTCCCTGTGTGGTCTCATGGGGACGTCGACTTCAGGTGGAGGGGGGCTTTCAGGACCTGCAAACGATGCAAGACGCGCGCATTCTGCACCTTGACCCCTCGGAGGGATTACAATCTCCAGTGCTGCAGGATTGCATCCAGTCCTGGCATGGGCAAATAGCTGCGCAAGCACTTCACAGTGCCCCAGACCTGATATGGTTGCAACTCCCAAGATTTGCTAATGAAGGGCTGAGAGTGCGAAAGGTTGCACAACGTCTCAGGCTGGGTTCCAGCCATCGCCGGATTACCTTGCCGGTCTTCACCTCACCACGTGATTCTGATGTAAGCTGGCAGGCTTACCAAATCTGCTCAGCGATTTATCACATCGGCCAAACCGTTCATGAGGGCCACTATCGCACAGTCTTGTTCCATCCCCAGGTTGAAGGTGGGTGGCATACAGATGATGAGAGGCCTGCTGAGTGGTGCCACACAGTTCCGGAGCTAGCAGAATACAACTGCTACTTGTTGTGTGCAGTCAGGTGCGACGGCTCCTGAAGGGGTGCCACCATAGGGTGCCGATCCTTCCGGCCCCTAATCGCTGTACAGTGAGGTCGTTTTGAGCGCTCAGTGCGCTAGTAGCTCTGCCTGAGTAAGGCACACGTGCCCTCAGGCTCAAAGGGGTTGGGGAGTAGTTCCGCTGCCACTGAGCAGCCGTGGCGAAACGTCACGTAGCTCGCAAGACAGAGACTGTCGTCTGCGGTTGAAAGTGGAAGTGAATCTCATGTGTATGTGTATAGAGTATACATCACACATAAGATCAAGCCTTATCTATCGTATGCACAAGCCGGGCTATATTTTGTGCAACATAGACATCTTCCATTGTACCACCGTGTACTATGTGTTATTCACATAAAACCTTTGTCTATCTTATCATATGGCATTGTCTTGTCCTGCTTTCTTTTTGGTTTGTAGTTTGCATTATAGTATCTTGTAATATTTTCTGTTGTATCATAAGTTTGCATACTAGATAGCAATTGCATATCAAAGTATGTGGTCTTCAGTATTTATTGTTTTATGGTATGACATATTCGGATGTGTCACTTGCGTATGTTTGCTGTTAGTTACTAAGGTGTATTACAATATGTATTTTTTACGATGGTATATGAAAAATACATTTTGCTATGCTACATTGTTTACTAATATAATGTACAACACGTTCGTATTGCGTTCTGTTGTATTATAGTATACAAGTTTAAACTATATCATAGAGTACTGTTATGTCATACTGTGACATACTGCTAGAATTTATTGTGCATTGTGCGCTCGTCCATTAGTTACAACTTTGCTAGAGTCTGTTGCAATATTCTTTGATGTTATGCTGTACTATATTATCTCAGACTTGTTGTGATGAACTGTGTCATTTCACATCCTGCTACCTTGTGTTATGCTATACTGTGCCACGTCATACTCTATTTTACTATGTTATGTTATATCGTTTCATATCATGTTAAATTCTGTTACATTGAATTTTGTCATCGCATACCCTTCCATGTTGTATGATATGAGGAGAAGTAAACGTATAATATCTACGGTTCTACTTTTCTTTTCTGCTATATTATACTGCTTCATCATGTTTGGTGCTCTTTTCGTCTAACAGCCTTTTCGTGTTTCACAAAAGACTTGTATACTGCATGCTTTGTCGTGTGCTGCCATACATACATATATATATATATATATGTACAGTCACCTTGTCATGCTATTAAAAGCCACTCCCCGTATAATATACCATGTTACTTTCGGGAAGCCCCTTGCCCGGAATGCAGAAGAAGAGGAGTTCACCGGTGACAAGACGACATTACAATGAGGGCTTATTCGGGGTACCCTGATGGCGTCGCCTAAGGGCAGAGGGTTGGGACCCACAGCTAAGTGCGTGACCTGTACCAGCGAAGCTTTTGTTTTTGTTCTCGCTGTCTCTCTCTCTGCCTCTCCCCCTCTCCCTCTCTCCCTCTCTCCCTCTCTCCCTCCCTCCCTCCCTCCCTCCCTCCCTCTCTCTCTCTCTCTCTCTCTCTCTCTCTCTCTCTCTCTCGCTTCCTCTCTAGCTCTCTCTTGTAGAGCTTAGAATTTTTTCCCAGCATCCGAAAATTTACGATGGCAAGAACCTCACATCTTCTGTTCCTTTCTCTCTTTGTCCCTCAAACTTCATGAATCTTTTCGGAATCTTTTCGGAATTTTTTCGGACTGCAAGATTTGGAGCTAACAAGGGCTTCAGGTAGGAGTGCAGGCGCTGCCGGGAACCGCAGGTTGCAAAAAACCGCAGGAACCGACGACTGACCGCCGTCTGCGACCTGCCATGCCAAGCGTTTAGAACAAAACCTGAGCAATGGGAACAGTCACAGTATGGCGCCCTGACATTAAGTATTTCCACGGCGAATTCTAAGGAGTATTGCAGGGGAAATTGCGACCTCTTAATAGCAGTGGGAAACAAATAAAGATAGTTGATTGATGGATGGCGGTTGGACAGATACATAGATATATGGAAGGATATGCAGATAGACAGTGAAACCTTGTACCATCCGTCCTCCACACAGCTAGCTTCTGATTCTACTGTCAAATCCTTGAGTCTCGCAGTGCTACAACAGTTCCAACACCCCCTGAGTTCAGTGTTTCGGGATTGGTTGTAAGGCTAGGGATCATTTTTCCAGGATCCGACCAAGAAGTTCACGAGCTTTCGACTCCATGGTCATGGAAGCCTTTCCTCCAATGGCTGCTGGAATACAGTGTTTGAGTTGGTGTTGTGTTGCCCTCAGAATCAGCCATTGTGGGAACCAGCGACTAGTTTCTTCCTTTGTAGTCACGTCAGAAGCCTCGTGTGTACCGGATGCCTTGTTGCTGCAGAAAGTCCGCCATGCTATTTGTTATGGTTGCGTGTCTGGAGTTCGGGGCTTGGGAGCTTGGAGTATTATACTATTACGGATTCGGGATCAGGCTTGTGGCTGTGCAGTCAAGCGGTTCGGTTGCGGTGTAAGAACTGTGTATCCGAAGCAAAACTGAGGACCTGAAGGAAGGGCGGAAATTCTGGTAGAAAGATCACCGAAAGATCCGAACTCTTCACTCTGGGGACACCCGAACTTCAGCCCAATCGTGTCTTGAATACAATGTGATGACTCCGACAAGATAGTAGGCCAAACTGCGTGGTGGTAGTAGTGGCGGTAGTAATAGTGATGGCAGTAGTAGCAGCAGTAGCAGTAGTAGTCGTAGCAGTAGCAGTAGGAGTAGGAGAAGGAGAGGGAGAAGGCATAGTAGTAGTCGTCGTCGTAGCAGTAGTAGAAGAGAGGCGTGTTTATTTTGGGAATTACTCTTTTTGTTTGGGGTATTTTTTGTTGTTTGGGTGCGTGCGCGGTCTCTCGGCCTCTGGTTTGTTGGCTTTTTGGCCTTGGCCTCTCGACTTCTTACAGCCTCGTGGCCTGGAGCCTGCTGCCTTCTTGGCTTTTCGGCCTCTCGGCTTCTTGGGCTCTCGACTTATTATAGCCTGGTGCATTTTATTGCACTATGTTATGTTACATTATATTAATGTGTATTAAAGGTATCATTTTTGGGTATATTGCATTATATTATATCATGTTATATTGTATCATTTTGTAATATCTAACTTAATATGAAGTTATTGTATATCATACTATATCATATGATAATGTGATAAATGATATGGTAGTAGTATATTATGTCATATGATAGTGTATTATGCTGTATTACATGTTTTTTATTGTGCTATACCATAGATAACTGCATTATACTATACTATGTTATATTCTGTTATATGAGACTGTATTATAACATAGTACATTATATGATATTGCGTTAGATCGTATTATGCTATGTTGTATTGTGTTTTATCATATCATGTCTTACAATATTGTGCTACCTTGTAATCACATTTTTTAAGCTGCGCAAGATCGCTTCGAGCATCATCCAAGACAGAACCCCTCTCAGAGCCCGTCATAAAGACGTTGTGTTCGCACATGGGGGGGTGCCCCCCTCCACCTCCCCAACCCCCCGCATTCTTTTTCAACCCGTGCAGGCTTGCTTTCAAGATCATCACACCATGAACAAGACTTGCACCAAACACGCACCAAACACATAATTGTTTCGGAGCTTTGCGAAAGGCATCATACAGGCATTTTGTTTCCTTTAGGGGAGGTGTGTCCTGCGCAATATCGCCTGCCGGCAAAAACAGAGCCCATATGAACTCTCTCGAACCCGTGATGGAGACGTTGTGTTTGCAAATGGGGGCTTTTGCCCCCCCCCCCCCCCCCCCCAACCTCCCGGCTTTCTCTTTAAGCCGTGCAAGCTTGCTTTCAAGAACATCGCACCATGAACAAGATTTGCAGAAAACACAAAACTGCTTAGAGTTCTTCAACACCCATCATAAAGGCATTCTGTTTGCAAAACGAGGTGCATCATTGCTTTATATTGTATCATGTTAAGGCACGTTAGATTTCATGATATCGTACTATATGACGTTATATCTTTTTGTTCTATATTGTACTTTGTTGTACTATACCATAATATATTGTGTTATATTGTATTATATTGTATCATATTGTATTATATTGTATTCCATTATATTTCATGACACTACATTTTTCATATCATGTTATATTATGATATATTTTTACTGTATTACATTGTAGTGTATCTTGTTATTTTGGTTTTCAACACATTGCTG